AGCTCAGATTGCCTGCAGTTAAGATTGCTACAGCAACAGTCTCTTTCCTCAAGCCAATCCTAAAGCAGGAACACTCCCCACACCCCCACCCCCCACCAGCTGCTAAGTAAAGAATAAACTTTTAGCTTCGCCCCTCCTTTATTGGAAGGGGAATAGGGTAATATGCTGTAATTGGTTTTCCATGTTTGCCAAGAGTCTGTTTCCTCTTATCATCCACAATATTTAACATAAGTCTTGTAATAGTTCCAAAAATAATAAAATCTGTCCCAAGAATAAAAATGATAGATCCACAACATGCTGCTTTTTTGTCATGGTCTTGGTTTCGTAACATTCTGTTAGTAGTTTTTATTGCCTAATGTTGTGGTTTCTTTCATACGCAGCAGACCCAGTAAAGACATTTCATCAGCTACTTACACAGCAGCAGCCTGGATTATTTACAAATGGAGATTTCAGTGCCGTATTAAAATAAATCACCACTGCATACTGTTAAAAGTTACTTGCAGTAATATGGCAGAAGAAAACCCAGAGATTCTAGGGGGAGGAACATTAAGTATATACAAATCGTAAGTATGATTATCAGCAAACAAATTTAAGATATCCACATAAAACCTGTTAGTCTTCCTCCTCCTCCCCTATCTCCTCCCATGCAATAGTGGAAGAGGAATAGGCAAATTAAATCCCCACACACATGCAAACAGTACATGGTATGTGTAATAAGTAACGGAACCCATGCAATACTTGCCTCATGATTTTGTATCATGCAGCAAGATAGTATACCCCTCCCTCCCTCCACCCCACCCTACCATCCCCAAGCAAATGCCCCATGTTGGGCAAATTCCCTCAAGTGTAGGTGTAATGGATGTGGCGCGGTAAAGATGGAGAGCAGCACTTCACTCACTGGATTCAGTTTGAATGAAAGAATACCAGAACAGACAAGACAAAAAGGAGGCAATATACAAGAGAAACTCAATTTAGGGGGTAAAAAAACCCAACCCAAACCAAAAAACCCCAACCCAACCAAACAAAAAATAAGAAGAAAGCTGTAGGACAATCAGTAGTGTCAAAAGAATAGTCTATCAAGAGGAATCACTATCTCAAGCATCAGCATTTATGAAAGCAATACCCTACTGGTAACAACTTTTGAGAAAAATGCAGGCACATAGGGGTACCCGAATTTAAAATGATTACTTTAAAAAAAAAAGTATCCTTTAATGCCCAAAATTGTCTTCTGATATTTCCAAGTTGTTTTAATACACATTTTTTCACTCAGATTCAGTTTAACTGCAACTTAGAGCCTGATAAGAAGTTTTCCTTTCTTCCCAAGAATAGATGTAATGCTCTAACAGCCACAGGTAAACTCCAGGCAGAAATGACTTTCCCAACTTAAATGTATGCCATTTAGCCTAAAACTAATCTGTACCCTTCAGACCGCACCAATATATAAATATTGCTGTTGAAGGCTCTTCAACTAGCCAACAGCACAATGAACCAAGTGTCACAAAAAGCGCAACATAGCAGAAAGCAGACATCTCAGGAGCAGGGAACAGCGCACTCGCTGCCTGCTAGGGGCTTCAGACAGTCTCTCATTATTTTAGCTTATCAGTAAGTGCTTTGGCAGTCATTTACCTTAAGTCACTGCTGAGTCTGATCTTGCACAAGAATAAATCAGAATGACTGAAGTCAACAGAAACACACAGGTATAAGACTGAGAAGGAGTGTTAATCTTTCTTAAATGACTGCCAAAATTCCCGGAGCTTCTCATTTTAAGTAGAAATAAGACAGACAAGTCTTAAGTCATGCTTAGAGGATTTGTCACTCCAAATTTACTCTTTTGTAAGTTAACTATGGCTTATACCATATGCTAAACTGGGAGTACAGGGAAACTGCACCTTGGTATGATTTTTCAGTATCAATAGTTTTACATTACATGTAACAGCTGTACAAGTTGCTGGGGAACAATTAAATGTTTTCATTCTTTGGTTAGAAAAATCAACCAATAAAAGCAACTAGAATTCAACATGAAAGCTCAGCAAGCTATCAGTCACTCATGTACAAGTAAAACCAAAACCTGCAAAAGAATAACCTTGGAAAGCACATGCTCTAGAAGTAACCCTCCTGCTAGGTTCTGTGCTATATAATTTTCAAATTCTAAGAGGATAAAATAGCATCAGGGGCTTCTCAAAAACCCAGGAAAATACACAGATCTCTAACTGGCAACAAAAGGATTATGTACGCACAAAGCTTGTGACAAAAAGCCAGCCAGAATGCGAGGGAACTTTGGTTTTGTTCTAGCTCCTCTTTGAAAGTACCAGATTCTTAACATAATGTACACTATAAGACTGGCACATGAGGACCAACCAGCATGATCAAAAATTGATATGTACATGTGACTGTACTAAGTCATAGCACATTCTCCCTGTCCCTTACTCCCCCCCCCCCCCCCCAAAAAAAAAAA